CAAAAGTTTGTAACATCACATCACTTTTGTTATTCCAGTGAAGTTAAAAACAAGTGAACAAAAACCAGACTGCCAAAAAAGGCTGGGGTTGCTCTCTTTTATTACAAGTATTCTTGCCTTGCACAAAAAAGGTGTTATATTACTATATTTGTGGATCCAGCTACTGTTGATGTTTTGCTCTGGTGTTCATGCAGCTTTCCTTTTTGAGGGAACACTTGGTGTTAGAGCAGGGGAAGGCTCTCAGCAAAGGGCTACACCCAAGGAGCTGAGTTGCTTTCCACACAGCCTGGCTGTGAGATATGAAATACTTGGTCCTGATAATTATGGGGATGCAGGTGTCCCTTGGAGGGAGTGTGGGAGCAAGCCAGGTGTGAAATCTGGTGATCTTGAGGGGTCTTTGGATACGAGCTGTCTTGTAGCCTGTGACCCTCACTGGTGGGGCTGATGGGATCAGGGAGAGAGTCATCTCCCAGGCAGTTCTGGGGTCAGCTCTGGGTAATGCTTTGAATGCCACAGCAGGGACAGAGCTACTGTGGAGGTGACCTCAGTTGTTAAGGAGGTGGGCTGCTATGTTTTCACCCTTCAGGGCTTTCTCAGAGTACGCAGGTTCTCAGTGTGCTGGAGAAGTCTTCCACCCAGGATCATGTCTGTGAGAAATGATGCCTCACTTTTTAAAATTTTAAAAGGTTTATTGAACCACAATAAGGGACTGAATAAGGAAAAAGGGACAGTGCTGGGTGCTTAGCTGCAGCCAGAGGCACACTGCTCACACCTGTAACAACCCTTAGATATGCTATTGGTAAGCCAAGCCCCTGGTAAGCCAGCCCTCCCCACACTTGTACATGTCACTCCTCCGACCCAGCTCCTCCTTCCTCCCGCCTCTGCAGTCCTTCGTGCTTCAACCTTCCCGATGGTCGGAGATCAACTTTCAACATTACAAAACTTACATATATATAAAAACAGATCTTAACAAAACTTCTTTCAACCTTATAACATGCATTCAGCATTCACAAGAGCCAGCATCACTATCCATTTATTACAATGTCCAAACATAAAGCATTCTCATTACTGCTTGCTTGGAAATACAAAACCTTAACAGCTTTGGTTATAATTTGATATGAGCAATTTCAAATCATTAAATGTTTTAAGAAGGTCCTGCTCAGCATTGTTCAGATTACACCTCTGTTCGTATTTGCAAGGAGTGAGTGAAATGGAGGAGATGAAAGCCTCTAAACCAGCTAGAACAGTTTTAGTTGATTGTTACAGTGGTCTGAGGTGATATACATGGTAGTCAGCTGACCATCCCTGGGCTCGAGTTCTAACAGAGACAGGTTTAGAACAGTGCCTGGTTTCTGTGAGTGTGAACTAAGAGAATGTATAGGGCACAGTGGTGGACATAATTCCTGTGTGAGGCTCTAAGTCCTTCCTTGGGGAAGAGCAGGGCTCTCATCAGTGGAATGGCAAGGTGGCATCTGAGTGACCGCTGCCCTGGACTTTAGCACTTACACGTCTGGGTGCCTGCATAACCCTTCATGAAAGCTTGATATTTAGTCCTAGCTCATGACTTTTTAAAACAGACATTGCAGCAAAGACAGTATTCTTTATCCATCTGTGCTGAACGTGGCATTCTTAGGACATGAAGCACTTTGTATGGTGAGAGTTTTAGGATTCATTTCTGTTGACACATCTGCTTAAGACTTAGATCATGTTTACTCACTAAATAGTGTCTTACATTTTTGGATCGTTATTGGATGCATTTTGTCTGCCAGTGAAAGTAAAATAATTGTTTTGGGCATATGAAATGTCACGAAATGGAGGAATAACAAGCATGCTCTCTAGCTGGGTTTTGTACTGCTACTGTGAGTGGTATGCTTTGAACTGGAAGATCAGAAAATTTCATCTTTATTAGCAGACTTGTGTCTGGCTTCATTTGCTTTCTGATTTTATAAAAATGTTTGCAAGTGGGAAGAGTTTCTTCCCCTCTCTACTGTAACAGAGCACTTAGATTTTATTTCTAACCAATCATTTTTATAGTTTTATATAAATTCTGTAGATGATCATCAGTTCCATGCTGCATTAAGTTCTGTAGACCTATGCCTTCAGCTGCCAATGCAGTGAAGAGTCTGATTAAGATGGATCTCAAGTACTGGTTGATGGAACTGCTTGTTTATTGGTAAATGGTAAAATCTCACAGATGCTGACCTGGACAATGTAATCAGCATTGCTGGTCAGTGGTGCTGAGCAGTACCTGGGATAGTGTTGCTTTAATCTGCTAAATTGATTCCAACTTGCAGATGTCATGATGAGGCCAACTTTATCCCAGTCTTCTATCTGAGAGGCTCAGCTCCTCAGGGCTGTGAGTGCTAGTGGCTGTATTATGTGTGCATCTCCTTCCTGAGGAGGACCTCTCTGCTATGCATTCTGGCAAGGATTTTGGAGAGATCTGCTGCATGCTTCTAATAAAAAAATCCAGAAGTCTGAGGAATTTTCTGTATAAGGTCAAGTAATTGCAGCTATTTCCAATTCCAGGTCATATCACCTTCTTCCTGAACACTGATGGGAGGCAAGAATGAGGTTATGATCTAAGTAGGGTATTAAAAGGAAATTGTGGAGTCACAGAATAGGCTGACTTGGAGGGGACCCATTGGGATCATCGAGTCCAACTCCAGCCCTGTGCAGGACACCCCAAGAACCAAACCATGTGCCTAAGAAAAGATTTATGTTCTTCTGTTTTCTGAAGTCTGAGTGAAATGAAGTGGGAGCTTGGTCAGATCTCTAGCTAATGCATGCCTTTATTAATATGGCTATGAAAAGTTTTATGATTAATGTTATTCTGAGTCTTGACTGCATATGACTCCCTGAAAAAAACCCAAATCTCCACTGCTGAATGCTAATAGATCACATCCCTTTATAAACTCCAGAGGAATACAAAGGGACAAAAAATGTTTGCTTGGTCTGTTGCCATGTTCAACATCAGCCATCACTTCTGCTTTGTCTTCTTTCTGTCACATCAGCATAGCAACTGAGCAGGCAAACAGGACTAGATGCCAGGGAGATACGGTAATGCTGGATGGGAGCAAAGGATTTCTCAGGCCTTTTTTTCCCCAGCTGGGTTGCTTAAGCTTACAGCAGGAGCTTCTAAATACTGGTGAGGAAAAACTGACGAGGTTGCAGGATTTGATTAAATTGCTTAGCAGTGCTGCCTTTGCAGGGTGATGTGTAATTGTGTGGTGAGCTTGAGGAGCCATGAAGACAGTATGAGGCTTTGGGGGTGATGTGAAGGCAGATTATTAGGGTGTTACTGCTTAGAGTCGAAAGGGAAGGAAGGTTTTCATTATCTCCATAGTCGGGGTGTTAGAGCATTGGCAAGTAACCGTGGTTGAATGGTTGAAGAGGTACAAGCCTTTTTCCTGCCCTATGGCAGCTTGTGTGCAGGGCTGCTGCAGTGGCAAAAGATCTTGGAGGGAGAGCAGTTGGCACACCGTCTGTAGAAAGAGCTCTGGAGTGACCAAAGGAAAAGCAATTTATGGATAATGGTGGATCCAGGATGCATTTGCCATGTGCTAAACAGTTTTTAACTTGCTGATAATGAGAAATAGTGTGGTGAGAAGCATTCACCTGCCTGAGGTTTTGGGGAGAGGACATGGCTGTCAGTGCTCCTATGCAGGCACTTTTTTATTCACACAGCAGTGTGGGGCCCCAGCCCTGAGTGGCAGCTCACTCAAGTTCAGAACCCAGGGTGGCCAAGGTTTTTTAAGAGAGCTGCAGTGTATGTCTCTACGAGACCTTATCTAGCTCTTGAATTCAGAGATTTACTTTGAACTACCTTGCATTGGCACAGAAAAGCCTCAGGTGCTAAAAGTCTTTGGAAACTGAAATACTTTGGCTGTAGTGTGTATAATGTAATATCCATCAGTCTTCCAAGTGCAAGTAATAAGAGATAGCAAATTGTGAGTGCCTACAGCCCCACCTGGGAAGATTCTGTGTGGTTCTACCTTCTGCTAAGCTGGGAGTATGGATCACAGCATCCATAGCCAGGAGTGTGTTTCCATGAGAGGACAGACCTTGTCGTGCCTGAAAGAGGACAGTCACTTTCCTTTCTTTAGAGCTCCTGCCCCCTGCCTTGGCCACATCTGGTTAGTTTTATCTTACTTTGAACTACATTAGATTTTCTGGACCTTGATGAAGCAAGGAATTATTTAAACTGTATTCGGCAGTTCATTTTTTTTCCTTTGCTCTTCTGAATGTATTGTGTTTGTTTCATTATCATAGATGTCCATTAAGTACTTTCTGTTCTTTCATTTGCTTATGGCAGTCAGTTACTCCTGAATAAATCAGGAGGGACGATACAGAGAGGGTAGGATTATGTTGGCATGTGATTGTTGACTCACTTTCCAAAGAAAGAATAGGCTCAATTGTATAGTCCTTTTTTTTCCCCTCTTCATTCTGGCACATCAATTCACTATGTTATTGTTTTTATTGCAGCTTGCTAAGTTTGCAGAACAAGTGACTTCTTTGAATGTTAAAAATTACTTATTTTGTAGCTTTTCACAGTAAAAGTGTGTTGCTGGTTTTTTTTACATTATGAACTCTGGTATTTTGAACACAGCCTAGTAAAAAAAGTCTGTCTGTATCCAGGATGGTGAAATACTAAAGCAGCAGTGAAATTCTTGTATGCAGGTGTTTGTGTTAGGTGTATTTCTCCACACCCCCTCCAGTCAAACAGTGTGGTCAGAATGCAAATAAAGAGAAATCCTCACTTCACAGGGGAACTGGGGTGTGTGGCTGATGTAATGCTCACTGGGTGATACTGCCCAATGACCAGTGAACTAAGCTTCAGACCACATTTCAGACTTTCTTGTGCCATGCCCCCATGTGAAGAGTAAAATATTTAAGCGGGGAAACAGAGAGTAAACACAGGGAAAACTTTTGTTTTGTTTTGGAGTTCGTATTTTTTTTGTTTTGGTTTTTTTTTTTTATTTGTAGCAGGAGGAGCTCTCAGACCTGTAAAAAAGGAGCCACAAAGAAGAGGGGAAGGTGACTGCAAAACCTGCATTCCATAGGACAAGAAACTAGGGAGTTACATTTCTGCAAGGAGGATCTACATTAGGAACAGGGAGAGTTGAGCACTGACAGGTTGTGTGAGGAGACTCACCAGGCTGGGGAGTAAAGCTTTGAAGGTGAACGTGGCCAGTGGTGATATACTACTGGAACAGAGGCAACAGAGATAGGACTCAATGTGACTGAGTTCCCTGTTTAGTAAAACTCCTCAAGATTCCTTTGAAAGAAATCTAGCCCAAGGAAGCTCGGGTGGCTAGTGAAAAATTTTGAATTTAGAGTAGGCTGAAACTGTTGACTGCAGCAAAACTAAGTTTTGCATTATATTCATAGAAACAAATACATTTTTTTCTAAATGGAAGTGTTAATTTCTAGAATATAATGTTTCCAGGCCTGCTAGAGCAGAGGCTGTTGGTGATATGAAAGCAATTTCATTACAAGCTGATTATTCTTCCTCAATACCCAGATACCCTCGTAGATGCCTGAAGTAGTGTGTTCAGTTCCAGGCTCCCCAGTATGAGAGAGAAATAGAACCACTGGAGAGAGTCACAGCTCAGCATTCTTATTTCCTCTGTTGCTCCAGAATGTATATGCAAGATTTTAGACTCGAGACTCCTAGTAGTTTTGGTCACATGTTCCAGCATTACCTTTGCAGACAGGATCTTTATTGTGCCCTTCCTTTCCAGGTGGTTGGAGGCAAGGTAAAGAAACCAGGCAAACGAGGTCGTAAACCAGCCAAAATAGACTTGAAGGCAAAACTTGAAAGAAGTCGTCAGAGTGCAAGAGAGTGCAGAGCCAGGAAGAAGCTGAGGTACCAGTACCTGGAAGAGCTGGTTTCAAGCAGAGAGCGAGCCATCTGTGCTCTCAGAGAAGAGCTTGAAATGGTAAGGAATTATCATTTAAGCCAGCCCTCAGTATAGTCTGGGACCTGTCCTCGTGAACACTTGTTCTCGAGAGCACAGTGACTGACAGTGGCATTTGGCTGGGCAGGAGGTATCAAAACATCAGATGCATCCAGCTGTTTGCCTGCTTTGGTGTGTAGAATATGAATTCATGTCACAAGTTATCTGCTGGTTCCGAACTGGAAGCAAGTGAAGAAAGTGCCATTTCATTTGAGTCTGTTGTCTTTGAAATGTTTGGTTTTGAAAAGCCTTTGACAGAGGTAGATTGTGGGAAGAGGTGTTGAAATATCAAAGGGCAAACATCTATCCACAGGGTGTCATTGCTTCTCTGTTGGGGAGGTGGATTCTTGCAGCATGCTCTCTGTGTAGGTGGTTCTAGGATGTGTAAGGTGGGGATCTTGGCCAGATAAGCAGCATTTACCAAGAAGAATGTTTCATCTGGAAATACAGATTGAAATGTCACCAGTGCTGAGGACACTGCCTTCACCTGGCTTTAAATTTATTTGAATGGGTAGGGCTAATCACTACAAGTCAGCAGATTTAGGATCAGGTGAAAAGCCAGCCAACAAGCCACAGGTTTTTGATGTGCTTCAGGGTTTGACAATGAAGAATCTAAGATGAGGGAAGTAGGAATAAGGCACATGTGCTTCCACTGTGCCTTGCGCAATGGGAAAGGACCTCTTAATAGTCCATCAGCCCCAGAGTCATGTGAAATATTTGTTTTTAATAGGCCATGAACTGGAACGGTATTCTCGCATGCCAGCAGCGAGAAATTGCACAGAGTGTTCCATGTTGTTTAATAATTACAGTATTCTGTCTAGTGCTGCCTCTGAGTAGCAGTTTATTGACTGCAAGAGGCTTTGCTGAGGCCAGGTCTGTGGCCGTGGCCACGTGCTCAGCTCATTAGGGCTCTGCAGTTTCGTAAGAGGCTTCAGCTCAGTACATTCAGACCTTAAATGAATATACCGGAAGGTAAAGCTTACAGCCCTGTTTTGTCTGCTAATGTGATCCTGGCAGTTTGCTAAGGCCTAATGTGTTTGCATATTTCAGTACAAGCAGTGGTGCATGGCCATGGACCAAGGGAAAATCCCCTCGGAAATAAAAGCCCTGCTAACTGGAGAGGAGCAAGGCAAAGCACAGCAGAACTCAACCAAACTTGCCAAGGCTGCGAAGACAGAGGCTAACAGCAGCAATCCCTGTAAGTATCCAGCCTGTGATTAATTCCTGTTTTGTTACATCTTTTGTGGTGTAGGAGGATGGCTGTGGTGTAGGAAGAAACATAAGGATGTGCTTTTGGGCACAAATAGTTGATTGAAGCAAAGAGCTTAGTGGGTGGTACAAAGACTCTGTGTAATGTTTACATGGACAACACAGAAATTCCACTATAGAGGAAGCTGGGCAGTTATTTTAAAAGATGACTCTTTGTGTTTCACCAAAGCCTGTGGAGACTTGTGAAGACCTTAATTTCTTACAGCATTTTCTGTTTTTTTAATGCAAGCTAAATGGAGTACATAAAACATAATTGAACTTTAAAAACTTTACCAAGAAAACATTATTCTAGCTGCAAGCACTCCAGGAGAGAAATGCTGGACCTGGGATTTCCTATGGAGTCTTCTTTCTGACTCCTCTGTGCTTTGTGCAGGGAATCTAATAGGTTTCTTCTGGGAATTGGAAAGTGAAAAGATCATGTGATACAAAGTCATATTCTTTTTATGTGCATGCAAAGGAGAGAGTTAAGATGTAGCATGGACAATTCTATATCTTACTTCTAATTTTGTAACAATTTGTGCTACAGGCTACAATTACACTTCACTGAAAATTTTTTTAAAATAGGAGTTTCTAGCTTTATGTTTTCAAGAATCAACATGAAAACCACTTTTTCAACCATGACAATCTTCCCCTGCCGGTGCATCATTCTCAGGAGGCCGATGCAGAACCTTCCACACTGCAGCAGAGGTGGCTCGGGAGCTGGCAGGAGGAAGAATGCTGTTCTGAAGAGTGGATGCATCTCCAGGTGCAGGGGAAATGATCCCAGACCGTTCTCTTCTCTTTGCTCCTCCCCACATGAAATTATTTGATTATGGTGTTCCTAAGGCTTCGTGGGGTGGGGCTTTTGTGGCAGCAGGTGTTGATGTAAGTGGAGCCTTGTTCTTCCTTTTGCTACACTGCCCTCCCCAAATACAGCTATGGCAGCTTTGGGGCATTCCCAGCACAAGAGTGGGGCTGCTTTTATATCAGAGCCCAGACTTAGGCTGGCTTTGTGTTTGGTGGTTATGTGGTTGTTAACTGTTGTGGGACTCTGGGAGGTTCTGTAAAAGAAAAGCAAGAGTAGGATCTCATAACAGCTTTGCTAAAGGCAAGCCCAGTACTGTAGGTTGAGGAGAAGGAGCTGGATCAAAAGCTTTCAGTGAGAAGATTTGTAGCAATGTCAGTTGTAACCTAAATGCAGGTGTTGCTCTCGGCATCCATCTGTAATGCAGTGTGTCTTTTGTGTTACTGGGGTTCTCAAAGAGGTACTAAGTATATTTCCTGTGTGTCCTGGTTTAGGGCAAATTTGGGAAGAAACTTCCAAAGGGGTCCCTCTAGAAAACAGATTCAAGCGGCCCCTCCCTCAACTGATTTGGCAAAATATTTCCTTGGAGAAAAGTGGAAAAAAACTGTTTATTTAACAAGTGAAGTATTCACAAGCTAAAAAAATGAATAATATTAAACAATAAAAGCTCTCACTGTTCTGAAGAGATGTCAAATTCAGAAAGTCCTTGTTGTGGGGTGTAGCTCTGCTTGCTCAGTCTCTATCATCCCTCCTGCACTGGAATGCCACGTCCCAGCCCTGGTGGGCCACGGGTGTGAGCTCTTGGTGTTCTTCTGGGTTTTCAGTCCAGAGCAGGTTTGAAAGTTCCAAGAAAAAGAAATGCCACAGTCCGGGGAACTTCTCTGCCTCAGCTGGCTAAAAACTAACTAAAAGCAAAGGAGAGCTCTCTCCTGCTCCCTGTCCATGCTGCAGGCAGCACAGCCTGGGAGAAGAGATGTGTGGGAGCAAGTGCAGTTTCTTCAAACAAACTCCGCACTTCTTGCTCCCCCCTTTGCTCTCAGAACCAGTCTTAAAGGTGCAGAACTCAATATCCAGCATAAACAGAGCAGACTGGGGATACAAACATCATAAAGTCACCCTAGGACACTGCTTCTGCCCATACTTCTTCCACCAGGTGCACTTTCCACCCACTGTGCTCCCAGGAGGACAGTCAAGGTATGTCCCTGCAGCCTGCTTCCAGCAGGGGAACAGCAGCCATTCCCTCTCACCACTGGGCCCTGATACCTTTCCATAGCTACCTACATTTTGGGCCCTAGTACCTCTCTGGACAGCAACTTAATGGGAATTCTGCTATGCTATCCTGGTTTCCCAGCCAAAGACAATGCCAGGAACTGGTAGCAAGGAAAGCAAGTTGCATCAGTTTGGTTTTGTAGTAAGAAAGGGGGTGGCAAAACTCTTTTGGGCTGATGTACTCATCCCAGTGATTGCAGATAACCTGCCACTTTCCTCAGACTGCTCTTGCTCTGGATATGCTTTTTATATTCATGTGATGCAGTGTGGAGAGTGGAGTTCTCAGGATTTTCGGAGGGGGTTTGGCTTGCTTATTCTGTTTTGTTTATGACAATGTCTTTCTCTGTATTTTATGAAATGCATGGAACAATTTTTAATCTTATGTTTTCAGCATTGTTTCATAGAATAAATATTATAATGAATTACTTTGCTATACTGAGTGTTGCCTTTTTTTATTGAGCTAATTGGATCTGTTTAGCATTGTCTCAATTCAGGATGGGGTGAAAGCACTGAAAATAATCAAGTACCGTACTGCAGTGTGCAGCACAATTGTTTTCAGAATTCCATTCTAAGCACCTATATATTGAACCTTAACGCATGGTTTTAGGTTTATTCTTTAGACACTGCAACCAGGCACTTAGTTAGCAATTGCTAAAAATGTTGCACAGACACACAAGACTATTAAAAGAGGTTAAGTCATGCTGAAGTAGAGATGGGGAGGATATGGGGGTTCATGCTGTGTTGTCCGTGTCCTATCCTACCCATCCCCATCTATCATCCACCCTCTGTATCTGAAGGTCTGTGCTGCAGTTTGTCCAGAAAGGTAGCAATAAAGCCTACCCATAAGTTTGGGGATTTTTGTTGATGTTGAATCCTTACCTGTTCCTTTTCCTGGATTTTCTGGAGGAAGAAAAACCCTAACCCAAATGATCAGAACTATACTCTCCCAACCTTGTAGTTGGATCTTATAACGTGATCATACTAGAAGTGTAATGGATGATTTTGGATTAGCATTAGTTTTACACAGTCCACTTTCAGGTGTAAACAATACATCGTAATTAGGCACATATTTCAAATGTTATGCAGATGCTTAAGTGTCTTTCAGAATCAGGGGTGTAGAAAACATGCAGAGGAGTTACGGTGTGTGACCAGAGCAGCTCTGCCCAGTGCTCGGTAACGTGACAAACACAGCTCTCATCTTGCCAGGAATACCCTGCTTGCATTCTTCCCTCTTTCTCTGTTTCACATGCTGTGATACCAAACAAGAAGCCTCTCAGCAGAAAGGTTTATTTCCTGGAGGAAATGGAGAGTTGGAATTTCTCATTGTGGTGAGCAGCGGTTTCTTCTGTTCCTTGTTATGGTGGCCCCTGCTTCTTGGCTTAGTCAGTGCTTGACATTACAAGGCTGTGTTTGGCAAGCTGTGTGACACAAATAGTGGTATCCATGTTCTGACAGATTTCTTGTGCTTCCTGCAGATGGACAGAAGCCTGTTATTGCCTTCATCATCCTTGATTGTTGTGAAGCAAAAATCTGTGACACTTAGTTACAGCTCTAACTGCAGCTTTTCCATCTGCTCTAGATACTATAGTCCATTACAAAATGTAGGATTCCCAGCAGCAATCATTCATTCAAGTTCCATGGCATCCATCACGTTGCAGGTTGTGCTGTTACACATTTTTTTGGCCTTAGCTGGATTCCTGGGAGTCCTTTATTTTGAGATTTGAAGTTTAGCAGTTCCCCTTGAAAACTAGCAAGTGCTTGTGGTTCAGGCTTGTTTGCTGCTCTAATACTTTTCATCCTTGTTGGGGTAGCTCCTAGGAGTGATACAGCCAAATCCTCTGGTCATCTAGTTCCCTAAATAATGTAGGGTGGTATAGTCTTACCCTCTCTTTGTGTAGGCTGGGTACAGCCTTTCACATGTTTCTTCTCCAGTGAGTGAGCACAGCTGGTACTCTCTCACAAGTACTGAAGAAAGGAAATGAGCCTGGAAATGCCTCATTTTCCCACTTGCCATGGAAATTTAATCTTCAGCCAGACCCATTTTCGTAGCTAAAGGTGGGTATCTCTTGGAAACTGTCCACTGTCCACAGTCTTAAAAAAATGCTGTCTCTACTATTTGGTGATTACACCAACACCAGAACTCCTGTTATGGTTAAATGTAGCCTGAAGTCAGTGGATGATGGTGGACTAAGCACTGTACAGTTGCACCAATCCTTTGGGGGAGTGCAACCCAAGGATGGACCAGATAGTGGCAGCTTTGTAAGAAAAACATGCAGTAGGTCTTGTCTTTTTGTGTGCTGTATATGTGCTGCATGCACAGAATCCTACAGTGAAGGGGATACATTTAATTGACTCGTCACTTAACTGAGAACATTTTGTAATTGTGTAAGAAAAAAGTATTTTCTTTTCACGGTCTGCTTTCATAATCTGATAGTGTTTGTCAAAGAATTTCCTGTTAAGTGCTTTTCAAATACTATCTTAACTTATATCATGGGTTTATTTTAATGTATTAGACAAATTTCAAAAAGCTTTTATCTTTCATGACGGCTGAAATCTGGCCAACTTTGAGAGTGCCTGTGACTGATTGTTTTTCCTTTTCTTTCTCTTTTACATTCAGGGTGAAGATTAACCTACATCAATAATGAATCTAGTTTTTCCTGAAGAGCTGGAGAAGGTTTGGGATCATAGTTCCATTTGTTCCTTTCCAAGAAATTGTAATCTCTATAATTACCTATTAAATTACTGTTAATGTAAGAAGTAAATGTTTGAGACTAGTCTCAAAATGCAGAGAAATCAGAGGAAAAGCTGAAATAAGAACCAGTCTTCTCATTGTGCTCAAAAGTTACAGCATGGGTGATAGAGAATGGGCTAGTGTAGAAATCCCTGTTGGAGGTAAGCAGGGCAAAATGCCAGTTTGTGAGTTCCTGCTCTTTGTGTCACTGAGCATTAATTTCTCCAAAAGTTATGTCAGTAAATGAATTTCTTACATGACTCTATTGTGAATTTGTATGAGAAAACATAAGTTTCTAATACACAGTAAAACCTGAAGTATCCCACACTGGATAGCACATCGGTGGACTAAAATTCAACTGATGCTGGATTTATGGAATGTTCACGTTTTTGTATGTAGATCTATCATGGATTTCAAGTGCCTGAGGGGAACCTGCAAGAAAGATGGGGAGGGGCTAATGACAAGGGCCTGGAGTGGCAGGACAAGGGGCAATTACTTCAAACTGATAGAGAGGGTTTAGATTAGATAGTAAGAAAAAAATTCTTTACTGTGAGGCCTTTAACGGATTGCCCAGAGAAGCTGTGGATGTCCCATCCCTGAAGATGTTCAAGATCGGGTTGGATGGAGCTCTGAACAATCTTTAAATTGAATTTGCTGTCATTGATCAGCTAATGATTTTCAGCAGCACTTTGTGGAAAAAAAAAATGCTTTTTAGGTTTTTTTTTTTCCTCCATAAAAAACACTTGGGAGGCAGGAATTTTGCTTCCATAGCTAGTACAAGATAAACTCTACTTTTTCTTTGTGTCAGCCTGTATCTCACAACTAGCTTAATTGACACTGCTAACACTAACTACTGCTTCAAGCAATTCTGTGTATGGTCTCTATATGTTTGGGTGGGTATTGGTGACATTCCTAACTGTGCTGCAGCTGATTAAATAAATTTGTGAATAAAAGACTACAAGTGGATTATAAAATGTGTATTTTCATGAGACAGGCTGTTCAGTGTGAATAGAAATGGTGCCTTATTCCTATACCTTCTTTCTCTTGGTAACTTTCAGAATACATATTGATCAAGTTTAACAGTGCTGCCAACAGCAATGCTGGGTGTTCCAGTGGCAGTGCATTCCAGCAGTGTCCTCCAACTTTACCACCCTTATGTGACATGCTCTGAGTGCCTGCTGCTGTAAGAACAGTCCTTTCCTGCTCCCTGTCGAACACAGAGCTGGCCATGCTGCTAGGTCAGTGTTTTCTGGTTTGCATTTCTGGGTTTTTTCTTTCCTCTCCCCTTTGAAATCTTTTTGGAATGCATTCCTTCTTTGGTACAGAGAAAGACTATTCTGTGAATCTCTTTTCTTTCCAAAGTAGGCTGCCAGCTATTTTCAAAAGCTGTCAAGGGTTCCTTTTCCAGAGGACTGTGTATGAGTAACCATGAGTTACTCTGCTTTTTGTGCCTCTGCACATGTGTACCAAACCCACCAGCTCACCCCTTCTGCAGCTGATGCTCTGTGACATCAGTGTAAATACCCCTTCTGCACTGCCCTTAATAATAGCATCACCCTTTGTAGCTCAGGACCCTCTTGTTTCTCAACGTAGCACAAGCAGTGCTGGTATTGGCTCACCTCGGAGTGGTTTTTGTTTTCTCAAGAATTCTGATGAGCTGTATGGTCAGGAGGAAGGTGA